CAGAGCCCTGGCCAGTTTGGCTCAGCGGTTGGAGCGTCGGCCTACGGACCAGAGAGTCCTGGGTTCGGTTCCCGCTAGGGGCTTATACCAAAAAATAAATAAATAAAAATTGTTTGCCCTGGCCGGTTTGGCTCAGCGGTTAGAGCGTCGGCCTGCGGTCCGGAGAGACCCGGGTTCGGTTCCCACTAAGGGCATGTACCTCAGTTGCAGTTTGTCCCCAGCCCTGGTTGGTCGTGCGGGTGGCAGCCACTCGATGTGTCCCTTCACGTCGATGTTTCTCTCTCTCTCTCTCTCTCTTCCTCTCTCTCCCACTCTATCTGTACAAAAAATGGAAAAATGTCCTCAGGTGAGGATGAAAAAAAAAGGAGGAGAAATGGACACAGCCCTGTCCTCCCCAGGTTGCCAGACTTCTGGTGCTCCAACAACCCAGCCTCAGCTTGCCTGATCGGCCACAGTCCTTCTAAGTTAATAGATGATGTTTTTACCAAGTCTTTTCCTTCCATCATCTCACTGTAGCTTCATTAAAAAAAAAAGAAAAACACCTTCCTTCGAGTGTTAAGAAAGCTGGCCTTCGGGGAGGCTAAGTGGCCTTGCCGTACAGTTCATTGGTGCCTCGGAATGTGCTAAAATCCAGGTGTCCTGAAGCTCATACTAAATAAAATGCCACAGGTAGGGACAAGAATATTTTGAGAATTTAAGGAGAGCTCTTTTTTTTTGAAGATCACTTTATTTTTATTTTATCCTGGTAATCAATTTTTATTTTTTATCTTTATTGTCATAAGTATTACAGATGTTTCCCCTCCCCCCCTCGACTCCTTCCTCCCCGCTCCCACCCCAAGGAGAGCTCGTGTGGAATTTGAAGTTATCCCATGATGATCAGGCATGGGCACTATTCTGATTATTTTCCTGTCAACCTCATCCAATTAACAGTGTTGACCACATTGCACTGTGGAATGGAATGGAAAGCAAGTTCATCCCAGGACTCACGACCTATTTCCTTTGTCTTTTAAAAAAAATTTTAATTTGATTTGAGAGAAATTAGTTTGTTTTTCCACTTATATGCATTCATTGGTTACTTCTTATATGTGTCCTGATCAGAGATCGAACCTGCAACCCTGGCATATCTGAATGATGCTCTAACCAACAGAGCTACACAACCAGAGCCTCTTCTCTTCTTAATATACCCCTTTCTTCCTGTGATATCCCCTACCCACACACATGCAGGGTCCTCACCTAAACTCTACTCCCCGACCCCACCAAGTGTCGATCCTTGGTAAGAACTGTACATGTTTAACACAACTCAGAAAGGGAGAAGGGTGTTTCCTGCAGGAGTCTGCACGTCCTCTGAGCCTATGGAAGTCTCTTAGAGCTGCTTATAAAACCTCAGCAACTGGGCCCAGGCCGGTTTGGCTCAGCGGTTAGTGTCATCGGCCTGCAGTCCAGAGAGACCCAGGTTCGGTTCCCACTAGGGGCGCGAACCTCGGTTGCAGTTTGTCCCCAGCCCTGGATGGGTCGTGCGGGTGGCAGCCACTCTGTGTGTCTCTTTCACGTCGAAGTTTCTCTCTCTCCCCCTCCCACTCTATCTGAACAAAAAATGGAAAAGGTGTCCTCGGGGGAGGATTAAAAAAAAAAAAACCTCAGCAATTGGGGGACACATAAATTTATTTCCCTGAGAGCTCTACAGATTTATAGAAATAATCTGCTGCTCTGAAAAACTCTTTTATATTAAAACCAAAGGCCTAATTTTGTTAATCAAAGTTTCTTAAATTTCAGTTCCTCTGCATATTGAATGAGGACACAATGGTGTACAGAAATGTTTGAAATGTGTGAAGGGCCATGTAAACAAAGGTACCAATGTAATCATCAATAAAGCTAATAAAATAGGATGGTATAAAGAGTGCCGGGCACAAAAAGTAAAATATCTGATCTCAACAGCTGAACAAACCCTAAAGAATGTTCACGTAGCCATGCATGCAGAATAACTGAAGGAAAAACGATCACAAAGTGGTAGCTTGTTTATCCCTTTCACAAGAAACTATTTCTAAAATGTAAATTAAAGTTTCATGCCAAGCAACAAATAAAATATTAGGCTTTAAAAGTTACCTTCTTGACCATCAAATTGGAAAAACAAGATACATTAATTCCACTGGTGGTCAGGATGGACAAGGGCTCTGGGAAACACCTCAGCACTGCTGGTGGAGATGTGAATTAGAGCAGCATTCTGGGGTAATTCATGACTTCCAGGAATCTTAAAACAATGCATGCACCTCCATTCCACTAAGAATTTGTACATGGGAAATAGGATGTGAGTTAAAAGGTAGCTATGAAGATGCTCACCGTGGTGTTACTTAAAATAGAGAATGTTTAAAGTTAACAATGTGGTATCTGGAGTCACTCAGCTTTGAGGTTCAAATCTGGGCTTTGCTGCTTCTCACGGAGATAATGGACATTCTACTTTCCAATTCCCACATTAGTAAAATAATGGTGATCACAACAGAACCTGTTTCATGAGGTGGCTGTGAACATTTAACAAATACATCTAAGGTACTCACAGTGGGCATACTGAAGTGCTTACAATGTTTATTAAAATGAAAAATTAGAAACAACCTACATGTCTAATAAATTGTTTTATCCCAGCAAATCTGCGCTCTATATTAATTTAAATGATGCTGTAGATGAATAGTTGACTTGGAAAAATGTTTATGACATTAAAAGAGAAAGGCAGATTATATAAAACTATTTACTATGTTGTTGAATTCAAGTTGCTGTTAGTGTACTTGAACTTGCTTTGAATTCAAATCTATTTCTCTTTCCAAAAATTTAGTTGTAGTTTAAAAGAGCAAAAATCAAACAGTGTTCATTTCAGTTCCTTTACCTGCTGTGGTGAGGGTCACTGAGAATTTTTCCTGAGCTAATACTTTGGTACTTAATGAATTGTAATGCTACAGAGTAATTACATACATAATTTAAGAAATACTACAGCTATCAGCTTTCAAATGGCTGTAACACTTTTTAAGAGTATGAACTATGATTCTAACAGTGTTTATTATGAGATACTCAAAACAGATGTATCATTTTAAAAAGTAACATGGAGTTTTAAGAATAACATTTGCATAATGAAAAATTACTGCCAAATATTAATGCTACCTACTAACAAGAATCACTTCAGGGTATTTATTGATTAGTATAACTTCATTTTCAGTGTTCGAATTGGTGATGCAATTGATTTGTATAGCAAAAATTTTATTTCTACCCTCCTCCAGCTCATGAATTGGAATGCCTGAGAGATAGCTACTTGTTATTCAGGTCTCTGCTAGTCCAACAAAAGTCTTCCTCCAATCCTCACAAAAGTTGCTTGATCGCCCCCAATTTTAAGCAAATAAATACTGTTGCCTGAATGCCTATATTGAGTATTACTAATATGAAAATATTTCAATTCTTTCCTAATTTAAAGTTATAAGATTAGGACCTCTGACTTCAACAACAGAAATAAAAACATGGTCATGTTTGTATCACATACATTTTTAGTACTTTCATATTTATCTCATTTCAGTTTTTTAAATGTTTTTATTAACTTTTTGGAGAAAGAGAAACCTCCATCAGCTCCCTACTGGGGGTCAAGCCTGCAATCCAGCATGTGCCCTGACAGGGAATGGAACCAGGACCTCTCAGTCATGGGACAACGCTCAATCCACTGAGCCATACGGGCTGGGCTCGTTTCATTAATATTTTAACAACTTTACATGCAGGATGAATAAATCTCATTCATTTTGACAGCTTTGAACCTCTCTGTTATGGAAGATTTACCTCAACTTTGGGCATTCATCTTTGGAACTAAAAAGGGTAGTGATGTGGTTTGTAAAAACTCTCTGAACAGTCAGAGGGTGGTGAGCATAGGAAAAAGACAAAAGAGAGAGGAGAACTAACACTCACAATCAAGCACCTCCTGAGCTAAATGATGCCAATTAGATCCAGCTGGGAAATGCTATAAGCCGCTAACAGCGCAGAGCTTGGCTGGACTACAAGCGTTTTCCTCGACATCTGGTAAAGGTAAAGCTGACCTCACCACTCCGTGCCTGGGACAGGTAGGCTGAAACCCAAGGAGATTAGCATCAATTTCACAAGATTAGATACAGTGACTATTGACCATGCTCTTTGTTTTTGGTCAAATGGATTCTAACTGGGGTAGCAGGATTAAAACAAAACAAAATACTTTCCCCCTCCTCTCCCTTAGTGAAATGCAGGCTTGTTGCTTCTGGTTTGAGGCAGGTAGTTAAGTTACTTACCTCCACATGATTGCTTTCTGGTTGCATTTATGATCACCAGAATAGAATTACAAATACTCACTATTACTTCCAGTCCTCAGCCAGATGTAAATCTGCTTAAACAAAGACTTAAAAACTTAAGATTCTCAAGATTTTTTTTCTCATTACCTTTTTATTTGTCCTGACTCATATATGAAAGACAAGAAGTCAGTACTGAGTAAGTTCTTTAAATCTAAAAATGAGTGAGGGCGGCACTACCTACTTTTATAATTCTGAGACAAGTATCCACTGCTACTTAGGATCAAGTCCTGAAGTTCAGATGTCAGCTCTCAGAATCACAACCCCTAAAGAGGGTTCACCAGGAAGAAAAAACGAGAGTCTCTGCTCTAGAAACATTATTCAAAACCTCCAAAGACTTCTAGGTCTCCCTTTTCAGCCCTGAATACATACATTCTTATGGCCCATTTCTCATCTGACTTGGGATACCCTGAAATATCATTTTGAAAAGAGCCCTGCCTTTTCTTGCACATTTAATTTTATTAGTGAGTCCAAAAGAGATAATTTGCCAGATTAGATGTGCTCATGTGTTTTTTTGTTAAGTACAATCATCAACAAATAAGTTTCCTATCAAAACACAGCTCAAAACAAAATGAACTTTTAAAATTAGAGTTGTTGTATTTGAAAGACAATAAAGTCAACTTACTGCGGAAAACACACACAAAAAGGACAAATTGGTTGGAACTTTCACAATAATGGAAAATGTTTAATAAACTTAGAATGGTGGGCTTATTAAACTATAGTGTTATTTACAGCCATAATTCATCAACCACAAACACAAGACCGTGTCTGCGTGGCATGCTACAACAGAAGCTTATTCACTTCATTCAGAAAACGGTGGCAAAATAAATTTCAGTTGCAAATTCACAGATACAAGCCTCAAAGTATAAAGTCATATATAACAAAAAAAAAATACAGGTAATATTTATAACAATAACTTACAGATACAAACTAATGATAAACTACAATTTCACAAAGGATTGTAAACATTTTGCACACTTGTCAGTCCTTTCTTTTAGGCAAAGTGCTCTTTTGATGACAAATAAATTAACAGATACACACTAGAGTGAACTATTTCCAGACAATACAAAAAAAAAGTTTTGATTTGTTTTCTTCTTGTAAACATAAGTTTTACCAAAAAAAAAAAAAAAAAGAGAGAGAGAGAAATCAATAAAAGTGTCTCGCAGGCCAAATGTAGATACATACCTGGGCAGCAAAGTGATGTTGGAAATGCTTTGGGTGTTAAATAAAAAATTAACATTAATCTTTTCAACCATATTTTATACATAATAAATGACAACTTTATGTCCTTAATCATTTCTATCCCTGAAAAAAGAAATTAGGTATGACTTATTGGCAGTTGTGTCATTGAATGGGGTAACAAGGGCTGGAGTCCAAGAGTTGTTGGTGAATGAGCTACAAAATAGAAAGAAATGTGTGGATCAGTTTTGTAGGGTGAATAAAACTGATTTAAAAACAAGTAAAAAACAAGCCAAGGCAATGTGCTTTCATGACTCATTCTAGCTGAGGGCACCAAGCTACACTCATTCCACTGACCTCAGCAGAAGCACTGACTTATTCAGCATCATGACTATATATTATTAAACGAGAATCTAGGAATGGTTCACCCCCAAATCTTTATTTTGGGCCACACAGGTTTGCCACTTCAATGTCCTCCATCCATACCCCATTCACTGCACTTGACCCTGCAGCTAGAAGGACGCATGAGCTGTGCCAGCTGAGATGCTGCTTTTATACGCAGGTGTCTGTATACAGGATGACCCCCACCAAGCTTCCACTTATGAATCCTTAACTGACTCTTCCCTCAATGTACATCAAAACACACTTGACTCAGGCAACACAATAGTCTTTCATGTGAACACACCCAATTGTAATGCTGGTGTAAGTAAGTGATGACAATAATACAGGCTCTGATTTTTTATTTCTTTTCAAAACTTAAAATGAAGATTTCACTCTCAGCAAGGGCTACGCTATTTCAAACACAACCTCCCTGAGAGCAACTAGGAAAGCGGGACAAACTTTTTAAAAAATGTGTCTGAAGGCATACGAAAGAGGCCAAGGCAGTCACCTCCCAAAGGAGCAGCGAAATAAAACAAGGCTACTTCCCCCCAAGTTGGTGACAATTTTAAAATAAATGTCTGAGAGGCTAGGAAGTTCAGCGGAATATTCAGGAGTTAGACTTCGGCTGGGTGGTGGAAAACAGATATGGAAGATCAGGGATCACTGAAGAGAAGCCCTAGTTAAAAACAGCAGAAACAAAATAAAACACAGGCTTTGTTTGGGCTCTCCACAGGCTATAAAGCCTGGTTGTAGGGACCCAGAAATACCACCCCTCCTGAGAACTGATGCCTGATTGGATTAAGCTGATCTTCCTGTAGCCCTCCTGCCCTGCCAAGGGCAAAACTAAATCCTCTTGGGTGGAAGATATTATCCAGAGCCTCAAATTATTTCTAGTTTTTCATACCCAACATCTGAAGTGCAATAAAAAATAACAAGGCAAATAGGAAGACTTGGCTTGACTGAAAACAAAGAGAAAAAAACAACAGAACAGACCCACAAAAATCCAGATACTGGACTTATCAGACATGGACATTATTATAAACTATAATTAATATAACAATAATTTTATTAAGGAACAAAATGACAAAACAGATGCCCCGCCGGTGTGGCTCAGTGGTTGAGCATGGACCCATGTACCAAGAGGTCTCCAGTTCAATTCCTGGTCAGGGAACATGCCCAGATTATGGGCCAAAGCCCCAGTGGGGGGCATGCAGGAGGTGGCCAATCGATGTTTTCTCTCATCGATGTTTCTATCTCTCTCTCCTCCTCCCTTCCTCTCTCTCTAAAATCAATAAAGAAAAAAAAATTTTTTAATGACAAAATAAATTATTTCAGCAAAGAACTGGAAACTGTATAAAAGAATGAAATGTAAATTCTAAAACTGAAGTTAGGATAACTAAAATTAAAAGCCCCATGGAAGAATGGTACATCATATTAAATAGAGAGTAAGTTAGTGAACTGGAGAAGTTAGAAGGAAATATCTAGACTGAATCATGGAAGGTCAAAGGCTGAAAAATATGATTTTTTTTTTCACAAGAGCAGAAACTATTTGAAGAGGCAAAAGCTGAGACGTTTTCATAATGAAATACGTCAAACTACATAGTCAAGAAGCATATCTAGGCACATTATAATAAAGCGGAAAACCGAACACAAAGAGAAATGCTGAGGAACAAAGACATTTACTTTCAAAGAAGCAAAGATAAGGCCAACAGCTGACTCCAACAAGTGGTATCTGGTGAACTAACTACCCATTTTGTAAACAACAGAAACAAGGGAAGCCAGAACACAATGTCATCATGTCACCCAAGTGCTGAAATAAGATAGCTGCCAACCTAGACTTCCACATTCAGAGGAAATACCAGTTACAACGGCATCAAAACACTTACAAATAAACCTAACAAAAGATGTACAAGATTACTGAACAGTCGAGTCTAGAACATAAGGCAGCTTTTGAAGATGACCTACATAAATTGACAGACTAAGTTCATGATATGAAAGACTATATTACCAAGGTGCTGGTTTCCTACAATAGACCACATCAAAATCTCAATCGTTTTCCCTTTTTGGAGGGTAGAAATTGACAAACTGGTAAAGTGTATGGAAATGCAAAGGGTCAAGAATATGCAACACAAACTCAAATAACAGTGAAATTGGAAGACTTATACTACTGGATATCAAGAATTATAGGCCTAGCATAATTAAAACATTTAGGTATTAATATAAAAATACACCAATAAAACTAACACATATATTATATATACACTTGATTTATATCAAATGTAGTGCTACAGAGCAGCTGGGAAATTAGTATTTTCATCAATATAACAGTAAGCTTTGCTCCCTACCTCACACCACACACAAAAAATTCAATTCCAGATAGACTGCAGATCTAAACCAGTGATTTAGATATAAAATAAAGTTTCTAGAAGACAACATTGGAAGAACACCTTCATTATCTTTAAGAACCAGTTCTTGAATAGGTCACACAAAAAAGCACTACCATGAAAGAAAAAACGGATGAAATAAGCCACATTAAAATTAAGAACTGGTGCTCAACAGAACATGCCCTTAATAGTGTAGAAAAATGTAAGCCACTGAACAGGAGGTGTTTGCACACATGTAATCATCAAATATAACTTTATATGCAGAATAGAACAAGAACAAAAACAGATAAAGAAAAAAAAAAAGTTAATAGATCAATAGACAAACGATATAAACAGGCTCTTCAAAGAAAAAGATATTCAGATGCCTGACGAAAAACATGCTCAGTCTCATCAGTCACTGAGGGAAAGGCAAATTATAATGAGACAGCACTACACAACCATTCAACAGGCTAAAATTAAGAAGTCACACCATACCCCACGTTAGTGAGGATATGGAGCACCTTAGACTCTCATACACTGCAGGTCCCAGTGTAACCTGCTCCAACCACAACGGGACAGTTTGGTAAATTTGAATGTACATGTAGGTTATGACCCTATGTTCCACTCTCAGGTACATACCAAAGAGAAGCGTGAATTAATGTGCACCAAAAGGCATGTACAATAAAGTCCATAGCAGCATATTAATAACAGCCCAAACTGGAAGCAGCACAAATGTCTGTCAACCAGAGTGGATAAATTGGGTTATATTCCTACCGTAGAACTCTATATAACAATGAAAGCAAACAAATCACTGGTTCTTGCAACAATACAGATGAATCTCATAAACAATGTTGTTGAAAGAAGTTACAACACACAAGAAAACATTCTGTATGGTTCAATGTTTATAAAGCTCACAGAAAGGCAAACTAAAATAGGATTTTAGAAGTCAAGGCAATGTTACTTTGGAGGAAAAGGATAATGATTTTGAGGGGATATAAGAGAGGCTTTTGAGGTGTTAATTATGTCCTACTACTTCATCTGGGTGGTATTTACATGGATATGCTCCTTTTATTAATTTATCAAGTTGTGTACTTGATAAATTATTATGTGTGCACTTTTCTATATGTACGTTTCATTTCAATAAAAAAAGTTTCTTTAACAAAACTAAGTAAACTCCAATCTAAAAAGCTGAGTGTGAATATTTTCTCTGACCATAGGAAAATAAATTATTTAAATATTTATCAGGTGAAAAAACAAACAAAAACCATTTTTTTCCTAAGTAGAAATCAAGCACTAAGAGTCATTCTCAATGTTTGTATTTTAGCTGTAACATGAGTGTTAAATGTGTCTCTTAAAATATAGTCACAGAAATAAGAATGTTTGGTTAGTTTGTGCTCCCTACTGCACCCCCTGCCCAATGTTTTTCAGCTGCTACTGAGGTAATATTTCAAAATGTGAATCTCGTCAATAGCCTAGTATTCGCAGTTGTCAGATACCGACTGCTCGGGAGACAGCAGTTAAATGTTCGGATACCTACCATCCATATAACTATGCAGCGCAGTTAACATCGTCCCATCTTGGGGCACGTAGGCGGAATAAGCCATTTCTTCCAGCATGGGCGGAGACAGCCTGGAGGGCGGGACGGAGGTGACCGGGGCAGAGGAGGAGTGATTAGGGCTGACGTGTTTCTTGTGGCGTGCCCGACAATTCTGAAACCACACCTGAGGGACAGAAGCAACGTGGCTGCGTCACACATCAGCTCTTGAGTACAGTACAGCTCCGTTTGGAAAGAGAGGTCGCCCGAGTTGTCCCCCCATGCAAGCAGGTGTAAATCTAGTAAGATGTGGAAAAGTTTTGTAGACAGCAGAGAAACACTTTTGCACAAGTATCAATGGTCATTTTCTTCATTCAGATAATAGCTATTTGAAGATTAACTTAAAAGCCAATTCTATACAAAAGCAGCATTTTTCAAAATGAAAAGCTCACGAAGTCCAGAAAAAGTTTCCTCGGCTTTACTACTAGCATTTAGGACAAAAAGAAAAACAGAAAAAGCCTTTTAATCAGAACTAAAAAAATACACTACTAAAGGTAGCCTTGGACACCTGCTGCACTTATTTCAAACCTTTCTTCAAATGCCTAAAATCCCTACTGAGAACTTGAAGCTTTCTACAGACCCCTCGATTCAGTAATTCCAGGCACATCTTAACCCGCTGGCTTCCACTTCTCCGGTGAATGCACAGGCTATTCCTTAAGAAGCGTGTTAAGTTCGGGCTTATAACGAGAAAAAAGCTAGTAACACTTCAGTAGAACACAATGCAAACATATCCACTAGTGAAACAGTTCACAAACTATGAAGAGCTGAGCCCCCTCTTGCCCACTCTTTCACAGAATGAAGGAAGCGGGTTCAGGGCACGCGGGGTTTGCCCTTCAGGAGAGATGAGCCGGCCCAGAACGCTGCCAGCAATAAACCCGCCCGCGTCTGAACTCCCTGCCCTCGGATGGGCCTGACCACAGAGCGTCCCTCTGTTGATGTGCATCACACCAAACAATTCTGTCATGAGAAGTGAAAAGATAAAAACTGTACGGAAACTAAGATAAGAAAATGTGGGGTTTGGGGCGAAGGCCAGGGAAAAGTCAGGGGCATAAGTATCTGCCCAGGGCTGGCAAAAGGGAGTCGGGGCTAAATAATGTAGAAAAGAAGATGTACAAAAAGATTTACATGCAGAAGCTGGCCTTGCCCTGGCCAGTTGGGCTCAGCGGTTAGAGTGTCAGCCCTAGACCAAAGGGTCTCAACTTTGATTCCTAGTCAAAGGGCACATACCTGGGTTACAGGTTTGATCCCCAACCCTGGTCAGGGTCGTGCGGGAGGCAACCAATTGATGAGTCTCTCACATCAATGTTTCTGTTTCTCTTTCTCTCTCTCTCTCTCTCTCTCTCTCTCACCCCTTCCTCCCTTCCACTCTTATCTCAAAATTAATGGAAAAATATCCTCCAGTGAGGATTAACAACAACAAAAAAGTTGGCCTGATTTCTAAGACATACCCCTTGTCCTTGGGACTCAAAAATAGAGGTCTGGCAAAGTATAAATTCAAAGATTTCAAACTAAAAAGACAAAAATGAATAATGTAATGGGGTGTGCAGCCCTGAGCAGGTGGCTGAAAAGGAGCACCCAAGGCATGTTACAGGAACAAAACTTCTCCCCCATCTGGAGTGTTATTCAGACTCTTAGATACCTACGCAGAGACCACACCATACCCAAAGGCTCCAGTCACAGTTCTCTCCACAGGCTCTTAACAACAAGTGCCACTACTGTCACCCACCTGTCCAGGAAGACACACCCACACATTCTCCAACATATACACAGGAGCTGCTGCCACATGCCTGTTCCTGGGCTGTACCCAGAAGACATACACCCAGAGGACTACATGTAACCTAACACACATGACACAGTGGTTCCCAGAGTTTGCTCAAAGTATCTCATGTCTCCAATAGATTAAATACTGGATAGAACTTACTCAGTTGTTTAAAAAAATCCCAGACTTCTGAAATAAATATGAAGAAGGCATGACATAAACAGCAGAATAGCTACCTTAATGCTGATTCAAACAGCTTCTCAGAAAGATCATCAACAGGTAATCAGTAGAGAGGTTTGTGAACACAAAGTGTCATGTAATTTGCAAAGCAAAATACAGCTGAGGATAACAGACTTCAGAAAATAACTTCTGATATGCGGGCTACCCAGCTTCAGAATTCAAATACAAGTCCTCTGACCCTTCTCATTGACTTAAAATTTTCTTCTTATGCTTTGCAAACCTCTAACAAGAGTTAAGATTTCTTTTGAGCAACATACTTTAAATATTTTTTGAGTTCTATATTGTAAACTACATAAGCTAGAAGCAGGCCATGTAGACATTCTGCAATAGGAAAGACTATAGGGTAATAAAAAGATGGAATTTTAAATTATTGGGAAATCACTGGCATAAAACTGATTTAAGAAAGCTGGGTAATCATTTGGGAGAAAAAAGTAGAAAAACCCCTACCTCACATGTAGCCAAAAGTCATTCCAGATAAATTAAAGTATAGGTGTGAATAACTGGAATCATAATGTTTAAGGAAACAAGCCAACATTGATATACTCCCTTGGTACAGAAATACTAAAAATCTCAAAGCTATGAAAAAAGAAACAACTGAGAGGTTTGAATACATAAAAATATAAAAACGTTCTAGGTGGGGGGAAAATGAAAAGAAATGGATGATTGGGGTGGTAAACACACAGTATGATACACAGACAATGTATTATAGAATTGTATATGTGAAATCTATATGATTTTATTAGCAACCTGAAATCTATATAATTTTATTAACAATTTGTGACCCCAATAAATTCAATAAAAAAGAAAACAGATGAACTATGAAAGTTTAACATGATAAATAGGAACCAATAAAAGATGGCAAGAAACGAAACAAATCCAATAGAAAAGTGGGCTAAGAAACAACACTTGAAATTACAAAATAAGCAAATATGTTAAAGTTCACTGATAATGAAAAAATACAAATAAAAACAATTGGGATTTTTTGACTATCAAATTGGGAAGGACATTAAAAGAGGACAGTAATCAGGATTCACATAGTTGGGGGAAAGGAACTTTCGTAAGTAACTCCTGGCAGAATAAATTGGCATGACCTTTCTGGAAGGTGATTTTTGTGCTATCAGTTAAAGGCCCTAAAATGTTTTATCTTGACTCAACAATCCCACTTCTATACATTTATCTTATCAAAACTATTGAACAAGCGTGCAAAGTATGTATACTGTGTTGTTCACTGAAGCATTTATGACAATAAAAAATTGGAAATAAGCTATATAAATTATTCTATGCTCAATATGTGCAGCAATAAAAATGATGTAGCTCTTAGTATGAAAAGGTATTCCCAGTATACTGACTGAAAGAAATTTTATCCTTTATCTATAGGGTACACAACTCATAATCCACATGTCTGAAAGGGTATGTGAACAATGCTATCTAGCTGCAGACTATTAAAAATAAAATCATCCATCTTTATTCTGTGGTTTTAGTACAATGACAATCTATCTGCTCTGTTTTAATGTCTCTCTAAATAGATCTGAGCTAGTAAAGGAGAGATGGTCTCTGTGTATCAGACCATTGTTTCTACCTAATCTTTGCATATAACCTACTTTGCATATTAGAATCAAGGCCTAGTAATTAAAACTCTTTTCTTCAACATTTCTAAAGTGTGCCTAATGCTAGGAAGTAGGCTGGGCAAAAGATCACGATTACTATTTGAGATGACAGTAATTAATTCTTCAAAAATACCAGGAAGGACTATATATTTAAATTATATACATGCATGTATATATACAAATAATATACAATGTGGGGCAAAATTAAGTTTAAAGTTGTATGTAAAACAGATTATTCTTTTATTCTTTATTATTATATTATTTTTCATAAGAACAATTGTAAGTCTACTTTTGCCCACTGTGTACATCTGTGTGTGTATTTGTATGCTAATACTCCTTCCTTTGCTATCTTATCAAAAGTATTTAAATTCAATCCTCACATTTTTTCCCTCTAACTGAATGTATTAGGTAACACTGGTTAACAAAATGATGCAGGCTTCAGGTGCACAGTTCCACAGTACATCTGTGCACTGTACTGTGTGTTCACCAGGTTTCCTTCCATCCATTTATCTCCCCTCTACCCTCCTTCACCTCCCCACCCACCCTCAATCCTCACAAATTAAAAGCCATTATCCAACACTGTATAATTGCTCATAATACTGGTGATTGAAATACCTGGAAATTACATGAGAGATGTCTGCCTGAGGTCGTTACTTCTTCAAATAATTAAAAAAGGACTCAGAAGACTCCATTTTCCTTTGCTTCCAACTTCCAAACAATTTAAAACATAGTAGTCATGAATCTGACGGCTGCTACAGAATACACGTAGTCTCAGATCAGACAGGACCCTTAGCCCCCTGGGTCTGAAGAACCTCAGCCAAGGAAGCCTCGCTTCAGGCACAGGACACGCACTGCCTCCCGTGGCCTCCCGTGGCCGTCCACGCCCTTTGTGCAGGCTTTCCTGAGAAAGTTCTACATCAAGAGTGAAATCTACCTTTTCCTGCAGTTCCTTGCAGAGACCTCATTCTGCTTGCATAATTCCTCTGAATGTTATTTAACATTGTTTTCCATTTCCCTGATCTCTCTATAAGCCCTTGACACAGGTGACCACCTCCGCCGTGAAGCCACCTCCCTCCTTTGGCCTCCATGATGCTTCTACGCAGACTCATTCATTCATCCTGGCGGTGACTATGTCCCACTCAAACAGCACCTCTCCCCACTAAAATCTGTTTGTCAGTTTTTACTGGCTATAATCTCTTTCTAAAGGATCTTTACTGAATTTCATAGCATTAGATCTTCCTGCTTGAATTTTGTTCAACCTTGAAAAAACCTGTTTACAATATGCCCAATGGCACCATCATTGCAGAATCAGCAGAGAGAAAAGGGAATTCATCTCCCTTTGAACTACCAAGCTAGCTTGCATTTGACCTTAATATTCCTGTTAATAGCACCATTCCCATGAATACTTGGACTTTAAATTTAAGAATCATCTTTGACTTCTCATCTCTGGCTTCTTCATTACAGTGTCTGGTCCCTTTCTCATGTCTCTAGCACCCAGCATCTACCACAGTGTTCAGTCAATAAAACATTTCTCAATGAATTCTAGGCCACTACACCTGTTAAGTTTCTTTAAAACAAGAGAGAAAAAAAAAGTACAACTCTCCTGGACATTCCAACTAATCTGTCTATCCCTATCTAGCCTCTCCCAACTGTAGTTCCTCCCATGTACTGTCACCAACCTCTTCTTCCTAAAATCACATATCATGGCGTTCTCCTGCTCAGGAAAGAACTTCACCTTTCCAGGCTTCTCTGAGCTCAGCTCCAACAATTTCTTCTCCCACAATTTGCACACATAAATCTTACATTCCAATACATTTGCTCTAACTCATCCTTCCCTAGCTTTGTTCACCTCACTCCCTCTACCAGGATCTTTCACAAAGGCCATCGACACCCCTACACCCACTCACTCACTCACATACACAGGCAGAGAGAAGTAGAAGAAACACTGACCTCAGAACCAAGTCCAGCCTGGAAGCCCGGTTGTCTTTTTCAGCCTGATGTTCTTAGGGTCGCTATAAGCACTGGATGAAGTAACTTGTACAAGCAGTCATTAAACAAATGGTAGGCCAGCCCAGGCAAACTAATTATCAGGTCTTTTCTTTTTTAACTGATTTAAAGTGTGAAGAGAAGCTAGTGCTTTGGCAAGTCTTCACAAAACACTGCACACTCATGAAGACCTAGAATAGAAATTTCAGTGTCTCTTGGTTAACATTTAATGTAATTACCTGGATCACTCGTCTGCTCAAGCCCGTCCTTTCTGCCAGCTTCTGGAGGGTCTGTGCATCTGGGTTGTTGTCCTGAGCAAACTGAGCCTGCATAACCTGTTGTTTAAAAAATATAAGTAGTAAGTAGCCAAGAATAATCAGTCTTCTGCATTCTGATGATGGGAGAGAAGGCATGCCCAAGCAAATGGGTTACTGACATTTGATTACTTAAAAATCAATACAGGGAAGTATGTATAAATGAAAAAATGCACCTTTTGTAAATTTAAACCCAAGTTGCTTTAAGATCTTTAACAAATAGTCAATTTCAACATAAAAACTTGTCTCTCAACTATGCTATTAAAAATAAGCTCACCTTTTCTTTCCTTCCATTCTTATATCCCACAAATAAAATGCATAGTGTTAAGTCTATTTACTTTTCTCCATTCTGTTAAAAAGTGTTAGCATTAGAGCCCTGGCTGGATTGCTCAGTTGGTTGGAGCATTGTCCCATACTCCAAAAAGGTTGCTGGTTCAATTCCTGGTGAGGGAACATGCCTAGGTTGTGGGTTTAATCCCTGGTCAGGGTGTGTATGGGAGGCAACTAATGGATGTTTCTCACTTTAATGTTTTCTCTCTTTTTCTCCCTTCCTCCCTTCCTCTCTCTCTAAAAATCAATAAACATATCATTGGGTGAGGATTTTTTCAAAAGTGTTAGCATTAGAAAACTTTTGAAAATACAAAAATCATTATCACAATTATCTCCAACCTCTAATGAGCTAAGCAGCTGAAGGACCCTATTACAATTTTTATTAGTCTGCAAACAGTACACAGCACAACAAATGTATTCCATTTATTTATAACCATTCCATCATTAACTGTTTTAAGCACTTGCTCTATGCAAAGGAATATCTGGGATCTTAAAAAGAGACACTCATCAGCTCACTGAATAAGAATTTCCAGGGGTCTAAACAGCTACATGTTGAAAAAGGCCCCAGGTGATTCTGAAGTGAACATTTGGATTGGAACCCCTGTGCTCCGTGCTATGACAGCAGCACATGAAAAGCCTGTCCCTGATTGCAACTTCCCTGGACAGAGCTACAGACATGTCCATAACTACCAACAATACAAGGTTGAGAGGTGTGGAAAGCATTTGGAATCTTACTTCCTGGTGTATGTTGTAACAGTTTGGATCAAATAAAATCTTATAAAAGTTAAGAGAGAAACAGAGAAAGAGAGACAGACAGACAGACACAGACAGACAGACAGGGAGAGAGAGAGGGAGCACCAGATTAAAAGCAATAAGGGCTTTTGGATTCTTTCAGAAAAGGTTAACCACAGAATCAAATGGGATATTTGTATTGTTAAAAGTCAATCAATCATGGGTAGCATTATAAAATATAAAGGAAGTATGATAAAGAAAAGAGAAAGTCTGGCATCCAACGTGATTATGCAGGTCCATGGGCATGGGACAGGGGAGAGGCGACCAGCCTAACTAAAGATCTTAAGCTCTGCCCGGCTGGTGTGGCTCAGTGGCTGAGCACCAACTTATGCACCAAGAGGCCACTGGTTCGATTCCCAGTCAGGGCACATGCCCAGGTTGTGGGCCAGATCCCCAGTGGGGGATGTGCAGGAGGCAGTCAACTGATGTTCTCTCTTATCCATGTTTCTACCTCTCTCTCCCTCTCCCTTCCTTTTTCTCTAAAATCAATAAAGAAAAAAGAATTATAAAAACACAAAATCTTAAGCTCCGCTGGCCTAGAAACCACCTGCAGCAGGCAATGTTAATTACATTCTCCACTATGGTCCTCATATAATATTTACTATCTTCTGTCACTGTCCACTCACAGGACAGCTAAATAAGTCATTGGCAACTCCAGTTCTCCCAGCAGAAAGTGAGTTTTTCAAGGGCAAAGGGAATTATTTTATTCTTCACATTCCCCTTCCTATCAACAGTGTTTGTGTTTAAGAGCTTGTGACAGATGAACCTTGACAAAGAGAGAAAATCTGAAGACAGTGTGGTGGAAAAGACCAAAGTTGTTCTGGGAAACCTTATGAGGTTTACCAATTATATAATTTTTTTCAGTTAAGTTCGCTCTGATTAGTTGACTCTTCTAGAATAAGGTATCCCTGGCTTCCTGTCCAACTCTGCCCCCTCACTCACTGTAAACACCACATGTATTTTTGCCTTAAAAATGGGTAGAATCAGACTAAAAGTTTATAATCTCACTGAGTTCACTTCATTCTTTCTTTCCTATTTCAAATGTGTTACTAATATGCAAATATAGTTGTGCTTATAGAAGGCTGAACGTGTAAATCCTGAAGAGAAAAAAGAATAAGTAAATTAATTGTTTTTGTTTTTAATTTTGAAGGAGAAAAGCATTTGCTTTCAAAGCCACTATAGATAATGTATAGAACAAAAACAGCATACTTCTCACAAATTCATTTCAAATTCACAGGTTTAATAATGGAACCAAATTTCATTAAATAAAGCAATTTCTCATCAAGGAATAAAGCCAAACTTAAATCATCACTGATGGTTCAGGACTGCATTATGCTAAAGGAGAAGTGAGATGTACTTATCAATGTTTGTCTCAGAAGAACAAAAAAACAACCCTTTTAATTTTGACTTAGTTTTATTATTCTCCAGTCACTCCTTTAATATAGTCAAAGAGTAGACCTGTAGAGACACTCATCATTTTAAGGCCTGAAATTCTACCAGAAATGTCAGGATTCTGCATAGCAGCAACTGACCGGCTCCCCCTGAAAGTAAAGCAGGTGCTGGCCTTAACAGGTTTAACATTAATAATCATTGAGCAAGTATGTCCAAATACAAGAAATAAACCATAATATTGGCTGAAACTTCTTAAATATCATTTCTACAAGTAAGACAATATTTGAAATATTGATGCCAACACAAAACAATATTTTATTTTGTTAACTGTGAAACAACTTGTTCTTCCCGTACGTTTCCAAAGAATTTTGGAAAATTATCTTGTTATTCCTATTTTAATAGTCTACAATGACTTTATTATTTTACTGAAAGGGAGGACAATTTGACAATAAGGGTACAACATCTGATTAGAGGTCCCAACAAAATAATTCAAGTTCTTAAAAAAATCTATAGCTATCCCAGATTCCTTAATTATGAAGAACCACTTGAGGACAACGATTGTGTTTTATTTTCTCAGTCATCCCTGGAATAGATAAATACTAATAAATATTGAATGAGAACAGGCTTTGAAAGCATATTTTCTGCTTTCATTTTTCAAAACTTATGATTCTGATAAAAATAATTTTAAAACATGATTCATAGCCCTTTTTTTTTTATATCCTCACCTGAGCATAAGTTTATTGATTTTTTTGAGAGAGAGGGAGAGGAAGGGAGAAAGAGAGGTGGGAGGTGGGAGAAGGAGAGAGAGACATTGACTTGAAAGAGAGAAACATTGATGTGAGAGAAAAACATCAATCAGTTGCCTTTTGTAGGTGCCCAGACCGGGGATCGAACCTGCAACCTACGTATGTGTCCTGACTGGGAATCGAACCCATAACCTTTCTGGTGCATGGGATGACACTCCAACCAACTGAGCCACCCAGCCAGGGCCACAACACATTTTCATACAATAATGAATGAGTAAATAGTTTATGCACATTTTAATTAAAACTATAATGCTATCTATAAGGATCAGAATCTCACTCTTTTGCTCTAGCCTCTGCTGCCATTTATTGTTTTGTTAGGATCAGACTCATAGTCTCCTTGGAGGCCAAGCCAAATGAAAAGAGCAGAGGTTTGGGGAGCAGGGTCCAAATCTCTTCTTTGCCATTCTCTTGGTAATCTGTCCCGAGGAAAATTCCTGCACTTCTTGGGTGAGGCTACCTATATCAAGGAATTGTTGTTAAGAGTTAAGGGAGATAATGTAGAGAATATAAATGCCTGTCATAGGACTTGGCACAAATATTATTCCCTTTTTACTTAACTAGTATTTATCTTTCTATATGAGATTGTCTATATATTTAAAGTGGTTTCAAATTTTCACAATTATAATTTTAATAATTAATTTTTATATCATATAGCACTATCAGTTTTATAATTAAAACTATAGCCAGTCTGTAGCGTATGACCGACTTTAAAAAGAGAATATATTTTTACTAGCAATTCTATTTTCTTGCACACCTTTTAGCTACTGGGTATTCTGCTGCCAGGTCTCCCACAGGTACTCATGTCTCCTAATGTAGGGCTTTTTGTGATCTTCACTGCAACCAATGGAGGCATCCAGAAAAGCAAGGTTCAAACAGAGGTACTTCTTTCATCTGTTACCTAATGACTGTGTATTCTACGCTTAAGTTAAGAAATCCAACAATCATTTGAAAGTTTTTCAGAATGGCGTGAGATTTTAATGCTGGCTTGCTTTCCAATATACCATTAAGCTGCCTTGGAATATTTGTGTCACATCAAGGTTACTTTCTTAAACATTCTCAATAAAAAATTATCTTCTTGAAACACTTTTATTGTATTCATCTTAAATACTGTCAAGTCTTAAAATATTGTATGTAATTTTTCAAAAATTAGTTTCACTTATTTGTTAACATTGCATAAATGTCCTTTAAAGTCTGAACTAAGATGGATACAATGTATACAGCACCCAGGAGGACATGGTAGGTGCTCAATAAACATTACTTTCTCTTAACATAAAATACCTCAGCTACATTAATCTTTTAGAAAACATTTTTATCTTTAAAAAATGCCAGAAAAACTCATTATATGTGTAGACTTAAATATAAAGCAAGGAGTAATTATTTAATAATTTTCTTGGCAATTTACATAAATCAAACCTATAGCAATTATATTTAGAGCAACTAAGCTGAAAATAACCCCTTCCTTTTCAGGGAACATAAGCAACCTACTCAGAAAACGTATATTGTTGTCCATTAAAAAACTCATTGCGGTTTGTTAAAAAGATTAACACATTATTGTCCCATAGACCCACACACATATTGTATGACTTGTTCTTTTGAGTCCCAAAATATTTTGTTTTCTATTGCAGTTATGTGGAGTAATACAGATGCCTGAGTTAAACTAATTGTATCAGGAAATCAAGACAGAACATTTGCTTCCACTTTGATGTCAATGTCAACAGACCCAAGAAAAACAAAGCTTGAATGACTTGGTTCATACATTTCATAACTGGGAATACTAATAAATGTTTTGGGGGAAAAAGTATATTTCATACATTCACCAAGTTATTTTTCACACAAGCATAAGCTAACCTTTTTGAAAACATAAGAATGATTTTAGACAGCATGAAGATTTGTTTTTGGTAGAGCGGGGCTTCAAAAATCATAAAGTCATGGTCACGTCTACCTGGAGCTGATCTGCTGTAAAACTGGTCCGAGCCCTTTTTGCTGGTTTTGGATGATTAACATCTTGTTCTGTGAGGAGGGCGCCTTCAACACTAATCCCATTACCTACATTTGAAAAACACACCGTGCATGTTGGTAACTCAGATGGGCCCACCAGTCATACAATAATAGGTTTCTTGCATCTCTTGGCTTGGAGTGGAACTGTATACATCTAGATTGCCAAACCCCCTGAGTTCAGTTTTTAAACACACTAGAAATATACTGTGAAAGCAGTATTCCATTTGTAGGCTTGAATATTTAGTCACAAATGCAAAAAGTTACAAGTATACATCTAAAGCTCATCTGTAGGAAGGCAAAGACAGGGAAACGACTAGTTATAAAAAGCAAAACAGAATCCAAAACTCAAGGCTGTTGACTGAAACTATGGAACAATTGCTAATACACATGGCATGGCTTTCCCTGTAAATAAACACATGGAGACCACCACTAACAGTAAAGTGCTTAATGAGTATTACCACAATTATACTGCACAAAATAATGCATTAAAATGACCTGAAGGAAAAAGTGTTTTTATTGCTGTATTCACTGTTCCAAAAGACTCAAAAGTATTTTAAGTATATATTTACCATTTTCCACTTCTCTTTTTAAATTATCCAGCATGCAGTCATAATGCACTCTGCACAGGACTTTCTCTTCCACCAAAGCAAACTCCTCTCCCGTGGAAAGTTGCCTTTTGCAAGAAAAGCAGGCAAAGCACGCCAAGTGATAGACATTGCCCTTGGCCCTCCGGACCCAGTCAGTAGAATGGATGTGCCTCCCACACCGAGAGCAGCGAGTTCCATACCTTCTACATAAATAGAAGGGTAGGAGGTGAAGATTTTAATGCTTGGTGAGATATTCATCAGTTTGAGATTAAGCTAATGCATTAAGCTAAGTATTTAAATCTTTTGAAAATAAAACAGGAATCAATTATTTTTCTAAAAGTCAGTATGGTAAGCAAATCAAGATGAGATATGGTCATAATTCAAACCTATTTATAAAACAAAAACTTCTCATTGTTACTTGAAAGGAAGATTGGATTTTTTCTTTTAAAATAAATGAAACAAGCTTCAGTATTTCTCTTATAATGAATATCAGTGCATTCAAAATTACCTAGAGACCCAAGATACAACACACACACACACGCACACACACACACACACACTCCAGATTGAAACATAAAAGCACAAAAGCATACCACTGAAGCTATAAATGACTTTTTTAAAACAAGTTCAGATAATTAGAAAAAGTTTTAAAAGTCATTTTTTAAAAAATGTAAAACACTTGAACATTTGAAATAGATATTATCAAAGAATGAGAACAGAAACTGTTCACCCTGGGAAGAATGGAAAGAAGGAAAACTCAGAAATATTTCCTTTGGTGAACAAACTATTGCACCGCTAACCACAGGAAGATGGGAAATATAACCTAAAACTTCCAGAGACACATATTAACTTAAATGAAGATTAATCCTAACAAAATGCCAGAGGTAAATACTTCTTTTTCTCTCAGTCCAAATGACTGGACATTCTCTGTCATGTCTCCTTTCGCAGTGGTTGTTATGGTTGGCATATCCACCATCCAACTAAAGAAGTATACATATCTATGTCTATTCATCAATATATCTTGAGAGGTATTGCCATCTTTTTAAAAAATTAATCTGAAAAACGGAATCCTAAAAACACATGTCAGAATATAATAAAATATGGAGTATAAAACTATCCTGAAGAACTAGATCTTCAGTAAACCTCTGCAACCAATCTTTCGAAAGTCTTTAGATTACCATAAAAAAATAAAACTAACATATCCTAAGTGAAAGATGAGCCAAATTGCTACTATTTCTGAGGAAATGGAGAGTATAACTGATGTGAAATACAAATTTTTAGTAATTATAAAACTCTGTGACTTTATAAAATAAAGGACTCTGAATTTCATGAAGTGCTTCAAATTACCTAGCAATTTATTCAAATCAATCACTAAATTCTCTTAAATCAATTTTTGAAATTAGGTATAAACAACATAATTAGTATTATAAACTCCATTATATAGTATTAACTTTCCAATTCACAATGAGTATTCTTCTTCATTTGGAAATACAAGTTAAAAAATATGGCAATTTTTAAAAGTCATGCTTAAGAATGATTTCAATTTCTAGACAGCTATCCATTAAGAACTGAATTATATGCTAGAAGAAACTGTCTAATTAAATAATTACAAAGAGATCACACAGAGAAAAATGTTACATTTAATATGTTAGGCCAATATAACCTTACAAAATAAAGGTCAAAGAAGAGACGAAAGAAACAGGACTTTTAGGCAGAAAAACTAGATTTGGTGTATTACTGATAATAGAATAGTCCATTCTGATTAATTTGGTTTATTAAAGTTTTAAAACTGCTGGCATTTTAACTAGGGATCATTCTATAGTAAACAGGTAAACCTTTAAACAAAACCTGGAATTTTCCCCCCTTAATTATTTCATCTTACCACTCCCTCAAACAAGGAACTTTCTCACTATATGTCATCTTATATCTCATATTTTATACCTATGCACAGCAAAAGAGTTCCCCTGTCTTTAATACCTAAAACTTGCATTTGCTAAAGTGGAAATAATTACTTAAAATCAGTTTTTGTATACTTAATTCCTAAAATTATAAACATGCTTTTGTTTTAATACAAACTATACCTCAAAAATATAAAGCATTCTCACTTTGAAATCTATTATATAAGGTAAACTGGGCTTCCATAAATAAAACTGAACAAGAAAGCCTATTTACAAAATTCTCTTTGCATAATAATTTCTTGGAATGTCTACTTACTAAAAAAAAGTAAACAGTCACAGTGTACCTGAAATAATCAAGTTTGCAGAAAATGTCTTTGTCTTTGATATAACAGCTGGTATGCCTTCCCAAGGAGGTTCTGCAGACACTGCAGGAGAGACACCGAACATGCCAGCACAGGTCATTCACCTGTGAAGGAAGCAGGGGCAGGATGAGAACTCATTCTAATACTTAAGAGGATATTCACTGGTTTCGTGTGTTAGGCAATTTAAAAAGCTGGCCCTTAACATTTTAATATACACTTAAGAATGTTTCCATCTAAAAGGTATCATTTATACAAATATGTGTATAGATGTATCCTCTTAGACCAAACCAGAAAAATCACAGTAACATAGTCTACATTTTGTGTTAAAATTTTTTGTTATTCCTTTGAAGACTTCAGGGTTCTTTTTTTTTCTTTTTTCTTCTTAAAATGGAATGTCTATGAACACAGGGAAAATTTTGGGACACTCTAAAGTCCTACCTACTGGTTTATTTTTTCTTTTACAAAATTCTTCTCACCATGAAACATGTTAGCTAAAGAAGTCAAATCACATACTTCCTCAATGTACTTTTTGGCCAAATTATTATCCATTGTGCACTGGTTAAAATGAGAGAGAAAGACAGTGAAAAAGAAGTTTTTTAAGATAAATACTTACCCTTGTAAAGAAGTCAGGCAGTCCATTTTGCTTACAAAACAGAAATGCTAAGGTAGATTTAAATGTTGATATAGCAGAAGCCCTGGCTCTCTTTAACATTAAATAATAGAATCAAGGAGTAAAATATCGCTAACCCTATTCAATGATTTGGCTACTAGAGAAAAAATAAGTCTAATTGTAAGAGGTTCTAAACAGGCACTCCCCAGCACTGTTTACCATTCATACTTCAAGAAATGAAGCATAAAATGTGACAGCACTTAATATTTCATGTTCCTACTTAGAAAATAATCAGTTAAGGGAACAAATCCTAATTACCCTCACCTTAAACTGTCACCATCACAATATAAGCACAACCAATAGACATGTGTATTGGATTGAACTTGCCTTAATGCAGTCTCCTGAAGTTTGCTCTTAGTAAACGGACACAAGAACTAGGTTTATGGTTACTTAAATTTCGTGTGAAAGAAAAGCAGTGATGCAAAAACAAAAGTTACACCCTATGAATGGATCTAATGCCTAAAATACCTTTTGCTACACTATTTCATAGTAAAGATTATCTATCCAAAGATTCTATCAGATTAGCACTACTGTTCATGAACTATAAAAGGTACTTCGAAGCTGGGGAAAAAAAAGTTTCACTGGCTTCTACTAACAGTATGTGCCCCTTTCCAAAGCATTAATGAGAGAATCATTTTGGTAAAATTTTTAGTTTTAAGTTTTGGCTTTGTTATAAAAGATATACGTGTTCACAATACAAGAAAACATGGAACACAGCAAAGAAGTAATAAAAAATATTAACAATGATAAATACCGTCCTGGAAATAAAGCTATATTTCCCTTCAATTTTTTTCCTAAAATGAGCCCAATTCAATTAAAGATAGAGAGTATGGGCTTCCTTTCATATTCTACTGTTCAGAGTTATGACCACCCTCTAACTCTCTAAAGCCAGACCTAATGCCTGCTTCTCCACATTTCCTCAAAGTTTACTTAAAAAGAAAATACTTCTTGCATCTTCCTCCTGCCTCACACCACTCCCCACCCCCCAGGGAAGAAAGTAAGGTGAAGAGAGAAAATTCTGAAGAATATAAACCTTCCCTGGTGGCTGGTAGTGATTCAATCTGCATATGTAAGACCAAGCCAGAAAACCCACCCAAACAGCAGGGCACTGAAGTATTAGATGGGTTAATGGACTTGTACTTTTTGTTCTAACTCCATTTTACTTGCCACCTGATATAGTTCTTTTCTATGTTAAACAATTTACATCCTCAAATACTCTACTATGTCTAACAATTATTATATTTTTTACCAGTGACTTGAATTCAAATACATCTGGATGAATAAGGACTCAAAATGGGGAAAAAATGAAGAATTCAGAGTTTGTATATAATCATATAGTATTAAACTTTTGTTTGAACCAATATACTAATATGTACAAGAAGGTAGAATAAGACTATGTAGAAGGCTTCATTGGGAGGACTCCAGTCCTATTACAAAGGAAAGCTTAGATAACTTAGATATTTTATGTAATACAAATACTTAACAATATATAAACATATTTTTAATATATAAAAGATGAACACTAGAAACTACTTTATTTCAGAGGATGAGCTGAGAGTCACTTTATAAGCTTTTTCCATATCCTCTCTGCTATGAAGTATTAAAGCCTTTATAGATCCCTTTAGAAACATTCTTAAACATTATGCTAATTATTGAGAGGGCTCACTAAAAATAAGCTAGTTTTGATTTAAAAGATGATTTTGAAATATCCAAGAAAGCACAGGTCTAGAAATATTGAAAGAAGAATCTTAAGAATGCAGATTTAAAGAGAACACCACGATAATTTGTCAGCTTTAGGAATTAACCACCGATAAAAATTAACTCAGTCACTTTTTAATGTTTTCACCAAAACGTATTTTGGTGCTTTATCTGGGTCTATCTATTGGGTATCATTTCCACTTTACAGATGAAGCAGCTTTAACTGAAGTAGAAATTTAAAGAACCCCACTAACTTGCTTTTTGAACTCATACTGTCTATAATTAATTTTTTTACAGGTGGGGGTGGGGGTTGGTGGAAAGGGAATAGAAAGTGGACCTGTTTGCTACTAATTTAGTGTAGGAGAGGTGATTAGTTTAAATAGTGGTTTTAAAGAGCTATTGAAGTTGAAAACCCATAGCATTACGATTAAGACACATGGGACCATGATCCTGCAGGCAATGACATGAGTAACCTTGGCCTGCCAGAATTTGTACTCCAAAACTCCCCCACAATATTTTAAGAGAAGTAAAACAAATTAAGACAGACATTCAACTCTCAAACCACCATTTGAAGCACTTCATCCCAGCCTTCTTTCTTCTCTTCCTAACTTTATATCAGTGTCCACACCCACCCCCCAAACACTGGAGATAACACTAAAAAAAAGCACTAGTGGCCTTTAAGTATTAAATCTTAACGCCAGAAGCCAGGTTCTGAAATGTTGTATTTAAATGATCCTAGAAACGTTTACTTTGGAAAAGTCTCAGGTAACAGTAAACAGAAGACTACATTAAACAAAAAATAAAATAAAAAGCTGTCCAGAATAGAGCCTTCAGGACACTTTACAGTGGCTCTCACCAAAGGAGACACTGCAAAGGGGACTCCGTCAACATGTACGGGATCTAGAACTCTCAGAAGCAGCCGGTGTGGGGGTGTTACCCCGAGTGAGGGAGCCTAGGAACCCAGGGCTCAGTTAAAATGATCAGGCAGGAACCCGGTTCAGAATGAGTAATGGGTTTCTCCATTTCCGTTCCCCTCCAAGTTGGTGGCTGACTCTAGTACATCCACCCAGGACATGGGCACTTCTGGACCAAGATGTGTTACACACTGGCTGTTTTGCAACAACTCGGGAGAGTCTAACATTTCTTCCCCCCATCTCTTTCCCCCCGCACGAGTGGCTCTGGATGGGGCTCTTTTGCTTTGAAAGCTCACAACTTCAAGCGAGAACCTGAATGGAAAAGAGGGGGGAACAAACTTTTCTCTTCCCAGCGTTCCAGGGCAGCCCGCTCCCCGCGGGCCTCGCGGCTCCGCCCTACCTTGAGAAGGTACTTGTCCACGATCTCCAGGCCGCAGCTGTTGCACACACACTTGCCGGAGGGGCAGACGGAGCCCGAGGCCATGGACCGGGGCGAGGACGACGGAGACAGCGGGGCCGAGGAGGAGCACGAGTCCTCGTCCCCCGCTCCCTCGGGGCTCACCTGCAGGAAGCCGCAAGGCGCGGTCGCAGGCGGTTCTAGACCCCTCCTCCTCTCCTCATCCCACGGATCCCCGGGGACCCCCCCACAGCCCCCTCCCTTCTCCGGCAGCCCCCCCTCCCCGCCCAGTTCGCGCGGTCACACTTCTCCTCCCTCACCCCGAGTCCAGAGTCCGAGCCTCAGCCACCACCCACTGGGGCTGCGACCCCTGACCTCAAGGACCCGGGGCGCCCAACTACCCTGCCCAGCTTGCCACGCCGGCTCAGCTTTCCACCCCGCCCCTCGCCAGCTCCGCGAGCGCCACTCGGGCCCGGGAAGGAGCGCGGAGCAGCCGCCCTTCCTCCTGGCCGCCTCCCCACGACGGCCAGGCTGGCCAGCACCTGTGCCCCTCCCCACTCACCAGTCCCTCTTCCCCGGCGCCTTTCCGGGTCCTCCCGGCAGCCAGGGCTGCAGTCCGCCCGCACTCTTCCGTCATGAGCCCCTGGCACTGCGGGGTGGGAGTGGGGAGAAACAGACGAGAAGTTCAGAGCCCGCAGCCGGGGCCCAGAGCCTCAGCTTCCACGCACGCGGGACTGGCTAATGAAGGCCCCAGCGCGGGCCGCGCGTGCAGCCCTCAGGGCTCCCGGGCCCGGCGCCGCGAACGGCGGCGGCGCAGCCCCAGCGCGCGGCGAGGCGGCCACCCGAGCGCCTGCAGCTCTCCTGGCGCGCTCCGAGCTCTCGGGGACTCCAGCTCCCCAGCTCTCACCGAGGCACGTTGGTTCCCCGCCCCCCTGCCGGGGGTAACAAGTTAATAACAATCATCCCGGCACAAAGCATTTTCTTTCTAGATGTCAATCACCGCGGTGCTGGGATCACCGGGCTAAATGGGGTGCACAGAGGGAAGAGGCAGGGTGGGAGAGAAGAAAAGAGGGTTGAGGAGGGGATGGGGGAAGAAACTTGATTTCTTTAATAACCTCAATTAAAAGAGCAAGACATATTTTTAAAGGGGGCTTTTTGAATTGGATAGCCCGAAAGGTGAAGAGGTTTAATAGGATACTTGAAAGCTAATTACAGCGGGATTTAAGAAGCCTGGTGCTTGTTCCGATGATAATTTGAATGAAAATGCTTCAGATTAAACCGAGCCAGCAGCTCTTTCGTAAACTTGCAGCAATTAGAGCTGCGAGTGATTTACACTCGTTTCTTTAAGGTGTAAATTGCCACTTATTGCTCAGTAAGTCAACATTTGAGCTACTAAAGGATTATTTTTAACCAGCGCAAAAAGCTACCGAATAATGGAAAATATCCAGCTGAATTTAATTTGTGCCATTAAAAAAACTCACCCGACCTCGGTCAAAATGTTTTAAAGCAACAACGCTCATTACTCAAGTGTTTCCAAGCTTTTGCTGGAGTTTTGTTCTTAAACGAAAACGGAGCCTTTCTGGGAGTTTTCTGCCTTCTTTTTCGAAAACTCTAGCGTGATGCCGGGTGGGGTGGTGGAGAGCGAGCTCCAGCGGCCCACACCGCTGCATTTCCGACTCTTCGCCGCCCTCCTTCCTTCCCCCCGGGCAGCACCAGGCGAGTCGAGCCGCAGTACCCCCGCCTTTGCACCAGACCCGCGAGAGCACTCCCTGCGCGGGACCCACGCAGCCGCACGGAGGCCGTGTCCTCGCAGACACAAAGAAAATTTAAGCAAAAAAAAGCCTTGCGTCTCCGGGTGTTCCCCTCCGCGTCGTAGCCAAGACCAGTCAGTGCCCAGTGCGGTCCCGCTGGGGCGCCCAAAACGGCTCCAGTTGATTTTCAAATTTAAAATGCGAGACACCCACGGGTCCCGCCTCCATAGTGAGGTGAGAGCTTGTCATTTCCCCCCCCATTTGCTCGACAAACGGTGTGACTCGCGTACTCTAGGGTTTGCTTCTTTGGGAATTTTAAGTAAAATAGCATTCCTGGCCACCCTGGGATCCCCGAGGCCTTCCGGAAGCGAAGTATTTTTCTGTTTTCGCTGTGCGCCCGCCAGCGCGGATCGCCCTGCAGCCAAAGGCGCGCCTAGGACCCGCGAGCGTCCGCGGGTGGCGGGGCGCAAGAAACCGCGCCTCTGGCTGGTCCCACCCGACAGCCTTCCCGACCTCCCGATTCTCTCTCCCCGACCGCCACGATCACCTCGGCAAATAGAACAAAAACACGACTCACATGTACCCGAGAGCGCCTTAGGCTGGAGGCTTCGTCTCCCAAATTACAGTCTCCAAATCCATGCCTCAGGTTAAGTGAGCTTGTGGGGAGGGGAGGCAATGATTACCGACTAACGCTACTACGTAACAACAACAACAAAAAAAAATTGCCAGGTCTGAAGATGAAGCCGTTACAGGTAATTTCTGAACCTCGTTTAGGAGCCCAAACAGCTCGCGCGGTTCAAGGAAACTGCGACTCAGCGGGTCTGGCCCGGCGTCGGCTCGCTCACCTTCTCGGGGAGAACTGCCAGCTCCGGCACGTCCTTTTCTTCTAGTTTACACACAAACATCTGATCGCTTTTCCAATACATGGCACTGCAAGGCCGCTTATCTCATACCAACTCCAGAGGGTCAGAGGCTGCCGGTGCCTGCCGATCTTCCCCCTCCCCCGCCCCAGTGCACTAATAAAAGCTGACACCAAGAAGAGAAGAATGCTACAGGGAAGTCTTCGTCCAAAGAGGCCGCTGTGGCCGTAACCATTCTCAGGTGGACTCTTCCTAAGATTTCCCCCCCAACTTCACTGAGGTCTGTCTCTCCAGAAAAAGAAAAGGGGGAAAAAAGAAGTTTGTTTTCCAGAGGGTGGAACCTTACATAAAGGGAGGGAAGGGGGTGTGTATGGGGGAAAGTCTCTTCCTGGAGGAATAGCCTCACCTCCTTCAGGAAAACCCGCCTTCTCTACTACATGTTAAGATCTTTATCAGGATAAGCCAACTTACTCCAGATTTAGTATTAAAGAGAGAGAGAGAAAAAAAAAAAAAAAAAAACCTTGGGGAATGGCCCTGTTAACTTTTGACTTAAAAAAAAAAAAAAATTGCTCTCTGCATTTGCCGTGGCTTTTTGATTCTCGCTCCCCAACCAAAACCTAAACAAAGATTCAGGTTACATCTCCTTCTGCAGCTAGCCGAAAGGGAAGCAGGTCTGGGTGACTTGAACATTTTAGTCCTTCTCCTGAAAAGCGCAACTCTCCTGTCTGGCCGAGGAACGCGACCGCTCCCCGCAGCCGGGGGGCTGACTGATCTAGCGGTAGGCGCTCCCTTTGTGCAAAGTTTTCTCTTTGAGATGAAGAAGGGACATCTGAGCAGCACAAAAGCTTATGAGTTACGACTAGATTTGAAATCAAGGCGACAAGAAAGGCAAAAGTATGTTGCTAACAGTATTGCTCTTTCATCTCATCCTAAACAAAATGTAAGCCCTAAAAGCGGCCAGGTTCTGCCTCAATTTTGGGCTGCGGGATTGCAGAGGGAGGGGGTGGTCTTCAGAAGACCTTCATCTTGGTTAGGATCGGAGGGTGTGTTCGTTTAAATAGCTTCTTTAGGGTATAAAGCTTACTTCATTACTTAGTGTATGAAGGCGAATTTGATAAGAAACTAAGAATAATTTTTATTTCCAATTTTCCCTTTACAAGAAAAAAAAACAAAAAACTTCTGAGTGATCAGTAATACAAGAATACCTAGAGTCTGTTTCCTAAAGGCCTTTAACAATATCGTGTGAAGTTGCTTCACTTAGATATGTATACACATATACTTTTATCTCCTTGCCTTATTTGTCTGGAAGAGAACGACCTGATCGAAGTGCACTCTTCATCCAGACCAGTCAGCAGCAGGTTAGAGGAGGGGCGGTGAGCAGAGAGACGCAGCCTTTCCTGTGCTGCAGTGAGCCGTCTAACAGTCTGGGACCCTGCTAAAGGCTGCAAATCTACTCTTTCCTCAGTTACATTTTTCTCCCATAAAAATGAAAGTCCCTGGAGCATTTTCCTATCCTCGCTGTTTTCTTTTTCTCTCAGCTTTCAGTCAATATTAGCCACGCCACTGCGGGTCCTATCTGGAATATCTTGCTTAAATTGACCGGGTAGGGGGAGGAGAGCGCTATGCATAATCTGTGCCCTCTTACAGAATTGAAGGCTTGGTGTGAACCACTTCTCAGAAAGGTAACCTGTACGTGGAGAATAGTCTTGTGTTTTTCATCAAGCGCAAAAATCAGGGTTTTGGGGAAAACTCACATAATGCGTGGTCCATAAAATAGCATCGGTCTGGAGATGACTCTTTCGAATGCAGAGAGAGTTCTGCAGACCGTTGGCTCTGCCAAACAGTGTATAGAGCAAGATTGAAAGTGGAATTAAAAATACCCAGTTCGGAGACTTAGTTACCGTTTCTATTGATTAGGGTCTACAAAATAAATCTGGGGCACTATTTAGCTAGTTTCAGGAAGAAGTAATGCGTGGGTCGTTCGGAGATCCGGAGAACGCTGCAGCCGTTTTGGGAAGTAGGGCGGGGGCGCGGGCGTGCGTGCGGTCTTTCCACCCACCCTCACCTAATCAGGCGGCTCTCAATCAGGTTTTCAAAATACTGATCTCGATCTAAGAGCTCCTATCAGTGCATAAGTGGAGGAAATGATTCATTTTTAGAGGCGGCTGGGCTTAGGAAAGAAGAACGGTCGACAGACATAAAATGAAGACATAAAAGCAAGTCTGGCGGCCGCTTAACTCCCAGTGTCCAGAGGGACGCGGACCCGTGGGTGCATCCCGCCTTGCTGCTCTATAGGCCTCTGGGCGGTGAGTCTATTTATGTGTCCCGGGAAGTGTGTAAGCCTTCGGCTGGGGTCATGTGTGACGGTGGGAGGAGGGGATGTGCAGGTATTTGCTATGAATGTCAGGGCTGAGCATCCCGCGGGTCCTGGGCCTATCGACCCCGTGACCACTTGGTAGGAGTGAGCACAGGGAGGAAATTCGTGCGCCTTGGCCCCGGTTCCTGGGGCTCCTGTCGCCCCTCTTACCCACGCTCCTCCTCCGCTGGCTCGGACAAAGGAAAAGTTCTGCTGTTCTGCAGAGCACCTCTTCCTACGTGAGGTGCTTGTACTAAAAATCAGAAAGACTTTTCTTTTTTGTTTTCGTAATGAGGGTTTTTAGCCCAAACTCCAACTGAGAATAATTTTGGTTGAAGGAGGACAGACCAAAAAATATCATCTTATGTGTCTGCAGGGAGGAGAGGAATCTCCCTGTTTGAGGCGGTTCTTACCTACTAATTGGAAATTTCTAGATGTCCTCCTCTCCTTTAAGTGAAAATCGCAAGTCCACACAGGCGGAACAACCAGAGCCCCTGGACAGCATGGTTCTTTGCAAAGCCAGGGTAAAGAAAACCACAGACTGGGGAGCTCATCCTGTCCCGGACTGCGTGGCTCCCAGGCCAGCTGGGAGGCGCTGGGTGTGTCTCCCTCAAGCCCGAAGGGTTGGGGAAGGGGTCTGGGTTCCCCAGAGCCAAGGCCTTGATTGGAGGTCCGGGGCTGGTGAGGGAGAACACCAACCCGCCCTAACCCCCACAGCCTCCACTCACCTCCAAGAGCTGCCTAATTGGGCTGCGAGCAGCTGCGAAATTTCTAATCGCCTAATAAGCCTTCCACCTCGGTAATTCTTATCAAAAGGCATAAAACTGATGTTTTCACACTCGGCTTGCACCACAGGAGTCGTTTATAAACATCCTTCATCAGTGGGATGAAATTAAGCCTGCATTGACAGAGGTCTCTGCAACTCGATATTTAAAAGCAATAGATCCGAATGAGCAAATTATTACTTTACGTAGGGAAAGTCCCCACCAACTTGACTATTGAACCCTTTGCTTCTGAGCTCCTTGCGGTGAGTAACAACAGGTTTGAGGGGAGTTAACCTGGAGTTTCCGAGGTACTCGAGCAACCTCCGGAATCTCGCTTCCTGACTTGCTCCCAGCCCTCCCACCACCGTTCTAGTACTCGCCTGGATCAGACATCTGCAGACCTGGGTGAGGCGCAGCTGGGGCCTGGAGGAAAACGTGGTCTTAGGAGAGGTGCGTCCAGGATTACCCAGCCCGCAGCGAAGGGTCAGCGCCATCCTTTGGGGTCCTGCGCTTTCCTGGGTTGACGACCCTCGCTGACGCTATCCCCTCACCCCTCAGGTATCTATCGGGCGCCAGGGGCCAGCCAGAGGACTGTCGGAAGGTGGAGTAGGGGAAGACCTATGGGCCGGTAGGAAGGTGCAGCTTCTGGCTGATTCTTGTGGCGACTTCATTACCCATGAAAGTAAAAATTCAGAGCCGAGCGCGCTCTGAAACCGCTGCAGGTCACAGTCGGTTCAGGGTTAGGAGACGGTATCCTTAGATTTTTGCCCACACAGTCTAACCATTATTAATCGTGGCGGGAAACAGACTGAAGGAGGTAGCTTCCAAAGGTAGGTGTGTGTGTGTGTGTGTGTGTGCTTGCAGAAACTTATGCGGCTTAGAACCCGCGTTACCCCTCAGTGGGATGGAGGAGAGGGAAACGCGCTCACCTTGGGGTTTACCGGTCCCAGGCTGTCACCCATTTTCCAGGGTAAAGGGAGGCGCATTTATTCACGCCAGTGGAGGTGCCCAAAAGTGGTGAGGGCCTCCGGCTGGGACCCACTGTCTCTCCCCTACTGCTCACCAAGGGCTAGGCTGGATGGGCTTCGGGCAAGGCCAGCGTGTGGGGCACCGGACAGCGGGAACACACTGGCTCACCGACCCGCACTCGGCTATCTGAAATCTGCACCCCCTGCTCCCCACCACCACCCCACCCCAGGTTTGTTGTGCTGACTGCAGTCCGATGCGCCCACTGGGGCCATTTGTCTCCAGCGGTTCCAGAGACTCAACCGAAAACCAAGTTCGGCGCTTGAGAAGGTTTACGAGTGGACTCCTTCTTTCTTTCCAGCCGGTGCGCTCTCGCCCCCCCCCCCCATTTCCGCCCCTGAGAGGGAGTAAACTCGCCCCCGCCGCAGAGGAAGCAGAAAAGAGCAGATGGTTTCCCCCCAGATAGGACGGGTGAAAGAAGAGAATTAGGAGCCTTACGGAGGCCGAAATTAGGCAAGGGTCAGTCTGGGACCCTCTTGGACTAAATGCTACTGCGCAAAGCTCAGAAGTCCATTACATCATTTACTCATTGTGATATTTCCAAGCCGACAATCTCGCCTTAAGCACGCTTGTGGTTTGAAGCTGCTGATTTTATAGGCATTTATTTTATCTTTCAGAATGAGCAATACAGCAGGACCAGCGGAAACCTGATTCGAACTTTTTTCTACAGATCTTTACCCACACAACTCTGTAAAAACAAACTAGGAGGTGGAGAGAGAGAGAGGAAAAAACAAAACCGAAAAGCCGAAAACAAAACCCGACAGCTCAGTAACTCCCTTCTCCGCCGCCCGGAGTTTTCCTAGACGTCCAAGACACTCGGGGTGGATTTAGCCTTCGCTCACTAATCTAGCAAGAGCACATTAACCCAAACCCCGCAGGCTTCCCCTCCTCCAGCCCCGTGTCCCCCAGGGATATCTGAGAGTCAACTAAAACCCGGCCAGGGAAGCCAGAAAGCCAAACTTGATCTGAGTGCAAAAACATGGGCGCCAGACCGTGTTTCTCGGGTGGAGTTGGGAGGGGTGATGGTGGCATGGAGCTAGCTATGTGGGCCTCCTATTTGCAGGCTTCAGTCCGGTTTTGATAAGGGAACACCCAGCTCCAGTTGGCAGCCAGTGTTAGTGCGCCCCACACAAGCCCGA